CTTCATGGATTATGGGGGCTTCACTGTGCTGACCACCCCTGTCTTCCTGCTCAGGAGACTGGGTACCCAGAGTACTGCTGGTTTTCCTGCTAAAGACTGAGGCAAAGAAGGCATTAAGTACTTCAGCCTTTTTCTCACTCTGGTCACTATGCTTCCCCCACATCTACTAGAGGGGGGAGATTCTCCTTGGACCTCTACTCAGGTGGCTCTTGATCTACTACTATGCCCTCAAGTACACTGATTTGCAATACCACAGTCTCTTAAATTCATGAGCTACACAAAATTCTGAAAGGAATTATTCTCCTCTGTTTTCTAATTAAATAGATTTTTCCCTCTCTCCTCCCTTACTTCCATTTTCTGTGTGTACCATTCGGGGAGGTTTCTCCATAGTCTGTGGCCATTTTTCTAGGTGCATCCAGTGGCAGATGATTTTACACCTGCACACAATTTAACTTGTGTTATTTCTACAGGAATATCAATAATGTGCAAACCAGCACGGTATTATCTTACAACTGTTCAATGCAGAATTCCTTACGGAGGCACTGCCCACAGAAAATTGCCTTGCTGGACTACTGTATGATAATCTCTTTTTTCACTCTGAAAGCACAGCCCAAATCTCTGCACTGCATTTACCCTTCCTGCAAACAACTGCACTTTAGGGGACAAACTTCAGGAGCCTGGTTTTTTTTCTTCTTAGTTAAACACAGATTGTGTTGAAAACCAACTGTGACCCATGCCCATGAGAGCCCTTCAATGGAGGTATCCAGTGCTCAGCCTCAACAAAGTCAGCTGGGCTGGTTCCTCAAACAGAAAATCCTGAAGCCTACTTGTAACTAAACTTTTCATGAACTGTAGCCATATATTTGGAACAGTTAAAATACGCATGTGTTAAGATAAACAAAAAATGGTGTCAATACAGAGAACAACTGCAAAAGTAAAATCCAGTCCTGCTGGAGCACTAAAATTTCATCTTCCAAGACAGTCGTCCCTATAAATTATTTTAAAGCAATCAAAAGGAAGTAAGACTCCCTTTTCACTTAAAAAAAAACCCCAAAAGAAACAAACACTTCAAACTTCAAGAACATTAACGTAAGTCAGACAAGAAGCACAAAACACTGCTACTTACCATACAGGAACTTCCTTTCTAGCTTCTCAAACAATAGCACGCTTTGATTCAGTTGTTCACAGAAGCCCTCAGCAACATAATAATCCACATCACTGGCCTGAAGCAGTTCCTCAAAGGCTTTAATAAGGCTCGTCAGATGTTGATGGTAAGCGGCGCAACAGCCACGGATCTCTTTAATTTGTTGGTGTTGGAAGGAGAGTTCTCGAGCTTGTGAATGAACTAATGAATCATAGCTGAGAAAATGAAATTATCTTTAAAGTCATTTTCTGACCATAAATAACATTTAAATGTAAATAAAAAGTGAATTAAACTTATATTCCTAAGCTATAATTTTATGTGACTCAATTTTCCTTAAAATGCTTTTACAGACACAATGAGAAATGTATTGTCTCTAGCTGTTGAGTTTTGTATTTATGGGCATAATTTGTGGGTTATTATCCTTCACTTAACTGCTCCATTTATAAGATGGGCAGAAGCTAAAGTGATGAACTTGTTTGTCTGCTTGGAAATAACCCAGATGGCATGCAAAGGTGTCAAATTAAAGGAAATAAGAGTGAATACACGAAAAGAATCTTTAAGAATACACATATTTTTCTTGATTTTTTTTCTTTTTTTAATTCAGTATGGAAGAACAGACAGAGCTGCTCCTTCTTCTGAAACTGTCTGCATCTCCCGCCAGGAGCACAATATTGGACTTTCTGAATTTCAACTCAGATCAACTGAATTTATTCCGCACTTGCAAACATCCCCTTTATACAGCCACTGTCTGTACCACAGATCGACTTCTTCCTACAGAATCATACATTAGCGGAGAGAAAAAGGGAGAGGATCTGAAAAGACGCAGGGAATCAAACAAAATACGGGGCATAAACAAAATCTACGACTGTGCGGTTGTCACAGAATTCTTATTGTCATTTGTACAGGAGAAGATGTATGACTCATTCCTGGGGCTGTCACTTGTGCCTCACGCAGTCGTCCCAGACAGAGGCCATAAAAACTTTACAGCGACCCATACTGTCTCATTCCTTAATTTACACAGTTAGATCTTCCTTTGTAAAACCCAATGAGGCATATTTTCACGGTATGTAAATTCACACAAACTATGTAGCACGGTCGTATTTTATGACAGTAATACTGAGAGATATACAATAGCCCGTGTTGGTGGTTGCTCGGTGTCTCCAAATATTCCTACTTAAGCATTCTGAAGAAAGCCAACAGCCAAATCCCTTTCTCTGTTATACCTCCTGCCATTCTGCAGGCCCTCAGGATAATAATGACATTAGAGGGGGGAAAAAAGGAGTGGGGAGTTAAAAAGTTTGGTCTTATGGGACCCCATTTTACGTCTGTGATTTGTATATATGCTAGCCAAAATGCTGCCTCCAGTCTTATCATGAAAAAAACAAGACATACTTTCAAGCCTTCCAGAAATGATTTTCCAGCTTATGGGCTTAAGCTATAAAATTTCATTCATTAATTTCTATATATATCTACTTTCACATCCTTCAAAGGCAGGCATTACAGCACTCAACTGCAAAATAAATTATAACCAGAGCGTAAACTACTTATTTTATACACAAAGTGTGGTCACACAAACAGAAGGGCTAGCATGAATCTGCCAGCCAATTGCCCACGGAAACACTTCTGTCTTAAATGCGATGTTCCTTTTCCTTACACTTGTCACTTGAAAAACACCTGAGCGATGCAAAACTGCAAGACTCTGATTACAGAAGTCAGCCCAGAGGAACCTGAGGGGATCTGGCTTTGCCCAAGAGAGGACGTCTTGCAGCAAAGAGAGCTGTAGACCTGAGGAGTGGGGAAAGGCACAGGTGTCTGGCACAGAACGGCTACAGAGGATGATATGAGCTCATCAGGGGCTGTTCTGCTGTGAGAGAAATGATGCTTTGTTCTTCAAGGCGTCTTTCAACTAAATGTTTCAGCTGCTTTATGTTAATGTTAGTGAAATTTAGCCTTTACCATAACAACACGCTCGTATGTGAATAAAATGATCTTCATATTACTCTTCTATGTTACTCTCTCGCTGTTTACAAAAAGGAACCTGAAACAGTAATAGCTTTACTCACTTGGATGGTGATGTTTGTCTCAGTTTGTTCTGAAGACGATACACTTCATCAAGATGCATATTTGCGATTTGCTCTATTTCAAGTTCTGCCTCATTTGCTGATACTAGTTCCTTAAGGTTGTCTGCTGTCCATGTACCACGTGCTTTTGAAGAGACTGAATTCCTATTTTCAGTGTGGATCTCATCATCCATCAGCTGATGTACACTAGAAAATGCTTTGGTTTCCTGCATAGCTGTATCTTGCACTTGTGTAACACGTCCTTCCACGGGCAAGGCCGTGTCACTCAAAACCGCATTGGAAACACCACTTGATAAAAGCTGGTCAGAGGTCTGTAAATGCAACACGAACATTTTGTACTTTTCAAGCTCAGACTTCATTTTCTTAATTCTTTGTTTCAGTTCTTCTATGTTATCTATGACTTCACAGTCATCAAGCACATCTGTACTTGTTACACTCAATTTGAGAGAGTGCAGGCACTTGCAACCTGAATGTGCGGTGGCTGAGTCAACGTCCTCGTGCTCCACGGAACAAAACTCTTCATTTATCTCTTTTAATGAACGCTGGATATTCCCGTTGCTAATGCTATGATGATTTTGCATTTCTGAAAAACAGGAGGCCTGCGTGTGAATATTAATATTTCTTTATCTGACATTCTGTTCTTAACAGCACTAGAATGAATTCATTTACTTCTCTAATAACAGAATAAAAATGCAGAATAATTACAAACTATACAATATTAGTTTTAGACTTTTGACCTCTTTCTATGATTTGCCCATTAATTTAATTTGCACATCAAATATTTCAAACCCCTCATCACCTTTCAAACAAACAACACTCCACATACACCCGCTTTCTGTTCCCAAATGACTCGAAATCACTTTTACTATATGCAGTCCTGAATCAGACACCAATGAAGCCCAGACCCTTCCTGCCACAAAGATAAAAACAAAGATGACAACCTTAAACTTTAGGCACTGAAATTTAAAAGTAGACTCTGTGGCTTTAAATGGTTCTTCCTAAAACTTCTAATTAAATATTCTGTTTTCTCCTCACTTCCAAAATCTATACAAAACCAATTGGAGCATGAAGTCAGTGGAATTTTAAAAAGATTATCAACAAAATAGTAACATTTGAAAAGGTGGCTTTAATAACTTCTTTGTAAAATGTGTTCTAAACAAAATCCATTAAAATGTCCAGTGTTGAAGGCTTTACTGACATTCATTTGGCATGCTTAACACATCCCTTAGCTGACTTTGCCATTCGTAACTAATGCAATCACCCCGCACTCAGACCAATAAAACCTATATGTTCCTACATATACTCTGTGTTTATAGTTCCATCTACGTTGAGGGCTGTATGTGTAAGTAGCTAAGAAAATGGCTATTTTCTGGTCACCAATAAATTAAATTTTCCCCTTCTATTAGTTCTGCAAAAGATCACTACTAATTAGAACCTCTCTTTTGGGAGTCATTCATTGATCTTGCGGAGGTCTTAAGACTTTCAGATTGGTTTCCATGGAGAATTCGAATGCCCAGGTTCAGGCTCTAAATCAGCACAAAATCTTCTGTATACGAAGGCCTAAGTCAAGCCCAAGCACAAGAGAATAAAAACAAATATAACCTAAAAGCTGGGAAAAAAAATGAAACGGTGATACCAGGATATCAAGATATTTGAAATGAAGGCTAGGTGGTGCTCTCTGCAGCTCACAGCGTGCTGCACACCACTGCGTGTCATGGCAAAGGTGACGATCACAGGACAGAAACGCTTCCCAGAAAATGCCTGTGTACGAATTCAGGACAACACATTGGATAAGGGAACGCAACACGAGTTCATCGGCTTCTCCTCCTGCTCTACCGGCTGGTTGCTGCAGTAACGCAGATGTCAAAGAAGGTTGCAGACCGAGATGGAAAAAACCCAGATACTGGATGAACTCTTCAACTCTAAAACCCCGATGTCATGCAAATGTTCCAGATAACAAAAACAACAACAACAAGTATTAGGAAGAAATATTCCTGATTAGAACACTGGTTACAGTTTTTAATGAAACACTGCCCTTTTCATTAAAGGAGAACTAATAAGCTCTCTGTGCATACACGTGTCCACACACAGAGCACGACCCTGTCAACAAACTGACTTCAAAGAGACTGCTCAGACAAATAAAACCAATGATGTGACAAAGGATTACAAAATTGGCCGTATCCCCTGTACTCCATACACAATATGTTAACCAGGTAATTCGAGCCCTGCCGGAAAAGACTAATGGATGATGCAGAAACACGTAATACACAGTATTAAGGCTATTTACATTTTCATTAAAGGATTCCATTAGGTTTCAACCTAGTCGAATGCCTTCAAATAATTCAGATAAGCAAAATTCTATCATTCAATTGCTTCATTCCAAGAGTCCGTAACTAGATGCAGAAGCATTAAGTAACAAACATTTAATTCAGAGAAGAGTTCAGAAGTGAGGACATTAGCAATAGAGATCAGAGTTAGGCATACAAGTCATTATTTTTACTGGAAACTAGACTCATAAATCCCCGTGGCCCTTCTGAAAGCATAACACTTAAAAGAGACGAACTTGGATGCTTAGAGCAATTAATCCATTCTAGCTAAGAAAATGAGATTTAAAACCCACAAATAAAGGCAAGGGAGACAATTACCTGTAGTAATTTACAACTTTGCACAATTCAGAGTAAACTAGGTGGGTTGTCTGGGGTTGGGTTTTTTAATACTATACCATATAAATGCTCTACCTTGACAGTTGGGCTGATTTTTGTCCATCGTGTATTCTTTCTTGCCCCCTGTACCCGGATCAAGGCCTTGCAACTCCACCTGGACCTCACCATTATCCAGTTTGAGCAACGAGTCAACTGGAGAATAGTGGGGGGAAGATAAAACAGAAAGCAGTAAGTAACTGAAAAAAATAAAGTGGGGATAGTTAAAAAACCAACCAACCAAAAAAAACCACCCCACAAACCCAAACCTGGTTCTCTGACAATTTGGAACAGGAAAATCATCGAAGGAAGCACAATTATTGAAGATGTAATACAAACATCGCTGGTCATATGAAACAGTGCTTGCACATATTTGTAAAATACTTGAACTAATTATAAGGATAACGACTAAGAATGTGAAGTGCAAAGGCTTCCTACGAACAAATGAAGATAAACATTTGCAAGTCCCCTTTGTAACGTAACAGTTAATCAATTTTTAGTGCGTTTTTAAATGTTTCACGTTAAGCTCAGAGAAAAGGCTAAAAAGTTTCTCCAATACGAGCATTGATCATAAACTAATCTTCTGCAATCTCCCATTGCATCAAGTCTCAGGATTACTAAGTGTGCAGGATGACTGTTATCCAGGGTAAAGAAATCACTGTGGAAAGAAAAATCACAGGACTGCACTCCTAACAGGTTCCGATTCATTTCAGGATCCAATTAAAGTACTGCCCTTCTCAGAATTCTCCATGGGTTTTGCACCTTCCAAAATTAATTGCTGCAGTCCTACCAAGTTGAGTATTTGCACTGAAGCTGTGCCGTATCTGTCCCTCACCTCAATAACGTTATCACTAACACCAAAGCCTCCGCAACCTCTGCGTTTGACAGGGGCTCACTTGCTACTTGATTAAATCTTTTTTCCTATATTTACACCTCCTCTCTCCCCGACCTGTCCTTTACATCTCTACTCAGTTTTTAATCTAACTGCTAAGTGCTTCATTTTTTTATCACTCCAAATCTTTAGATGATACCCATTGTTCTTTGCCTTGCATTCGTCATCCTTTGCTGATCCAGATACTCTGTCAACAGCTGAGTTTAAATGAACCCAGCCACACTGGAAACAGCACGGATGACTTGACTGATCAGTGGAATATTGGAAAAACTTCTTTATGCAGAATAAACAAAAGCAGTATCTTTATACTCTCCTGTCTCCATTCCAGGCAGTTTTCATTAGTTGTGGCATCCTATAAAGGAAATTTTTCACTGACATATGTGTGTGCATGTGCAGGCACCCAGTGAGATGTCATTTACTCTATACTTTATGCCATGTATACAAAGCACTTTCTATTCCATACAAAGCTGTTTTACATTCTAGCGGCAAAGATAAAAGAAAGAAAAGGTGTTTTTCAAGATCTATATTTGCCTACTCAAGAAAATTGTAAGATTAAGCAGCATTGTACATATGTAAAAATGATCTGGTTTTTCCTTTCTGCTACAAGAAAAGAAGGCACTATTTGAAGCAGCATTACAAGTCATTATGTCTGCTCTTTATTCACCTCTCGCTGATGTGCTTTCCTGCGCAGGCTCTTCTGGAAGGCTTTCAGCTACAGCCTCATTCAACAGCAACTCTCCATTTGTTTGCGGCTGAAATGGTTTGTTTTGTACTTCACATGCTTTCAGACCCTCAGGAGGTGCCCTGGTGTGACGCTGTAGTTTTGGATCTGGCTTCTGCATGCAGGAGCTCAGAGCCGTGTTTCCTAATGGTCTGGCTGATTTTAAGAGGACGGGCAGACGGGACTTCTTGGGCAGGTACGCAGAATCAGGCTGCAAAATGGAGTAAAATGGAGAGTTGGTGGTTCGTATGACACAGTCAAGTAAAGGGCATATAAACAAATATTCCAGGAAAAATTAAATGTTTGCAGTAAGATCAGAAAGCTGTCACATTAAATATTTTTGAAAATAAGTTTGCAACACCTTAGCAACATGGAAAACAAACATTCACAGGGAAAAAAAACCTGTCCCACTGGTTCAGTTTTCTGTAAGTGCTGCTTACGCATCCACAGCCACACAGTGAATGGCTTCCAGCTCATGAAGCAAGACAGCAAATTCACCACTGAGTAGCAAAGGCTTTTAATCAGCAGGCATGTTAGTTAACCCTAAATTTGTGTATGCCCTAGCAAAACAGCTTCTCACCCAAACTGACCTCTCCAACTGCTACTTCGCAGTCTCCTGATTTATAACATAAACGTCTGACAGCCCAGTAGCTGTTACCCTTAAATCTTATTATTTTCTTCTTAAACGGAGGATCCTCCTGCTTTTTTTCAGATTTCTGAACATTTTGTCCTCTCTTCCAGTTGTCCCCACCCAACAGGCCCTGCTTTGTACCAGCCTCCTTTCCTATCTCTGAGCAAAGCAACGCAGCTTTGCATCAGCCACTGAGGAAATTCATTCTGGCAAAGAGAAATTCCTTATGAAGAAGAACAGCTTCTTCCCCCATACACTCTATGAATTGCTTCTGCAGGATTCCTACTGTAACAGACGTTCTGTCACTGTCACTGGGAGAAGCTACACTTCCCAAGTTACTACATTTTAGCCTCTTACCTTTTGAAGACTCTGCATAAAATGTCCTTGTTCAAACCACGGAGCATAGCATAGTGCTATCTCCAAACAGACAAAAGCATGCTATATGTTGATGAGAGTTATGGAATTGTGTGTAATAATAATAAAAATCAACAATGGCATGTTCAGATAGATTCCGTTTATGTTTTTGCTGTTCATTTGCGCCACCAGTGCCGTAAGTCCCATCATTTCTTTTACCACGCAATGCATTCTGAAACACCTTTCCACATTCGTTTCTTAGCAATTATAGTCTTTACACAATTTAAAATAATAAAAAGCAAGTTCCATTTTCCTAATGACGTACTCAATTCCTTTTGTACATACATGAATGCAATATCATTTAGAGACTGAAAAATAAATCCAGGTGGATTGAGCATCCCAATAGTTTCACTAAACTGCACTAATAACGTCGAACAATTTCCAGCTGTCTCAGGGCTGCCGTACAGACGTATATGTCACCCAGATGACCCAAAGTCCAGTTCAGCTGCCTATGTGAAATTATTTATAAAAGCCATTCCGAAGCAAAAGATACACTGCATTAGTGCAAACAAGAAAGCTTTTAAAGCAATTGCATTGAGGTTGCAACTGATTAAACTAGAGAGAAATCTAGTGATGAATCGGAACAGTAAACCCAAACTCAGTAAAAGCAGGAACTTGAAAGAAGAGAATTGCACACACAACTTCAGGTATTCCCTGTGGAGGGCAGAAGGGCCTTCACTCGCCTTCAGAGGGACTGTCCCTCACTCCTGAGAAGTACCAGCAGCAATTCACAGACATCACTGGTGCTCTTAAGCAAGCCACTAGAGCAGATCTTCCTTAACAGATCAGCTGAGCCCTCAAACCCATCTTTCTATGACCCATCTTTTCCTGACTACCACCTGCCCTCATCTTCTGTGTTCCTGGAGGCAGCTGCCCTGGGTAGCACCAGCACAAGCAGGAGAGAGAGCACATCCACTCCTTTCTGTCTCAGACCGGCCAAGGCATCCCAAAGATGCAGGAACAGCCAACCTGCCAAACACGACTGACCAAACACCTATAGGCTAAGGCGACTAACAGCAGCCCAAGAACATCTCCATTATTATCTTCTTTCCTTTCCAAACATAATTTTTTTAAAGATAAAAAGTTTACTGCTGATAAGGAAGGCTTAAAAGACTAAGAATGCACATGAAGAGACTCTGATCGATGTTATTACATGGAAATTGATTGGTGAAACAAGATATTGTTTTTGTGAGTTACTTAAGTTTTGATTTTTCAGGGGTATCATAACCTCTTACTAAGACTGACATGAATTTTCTAAGGTGTTTGCCAGGGATCAACCATGCATGCCAGAACCTTTTCCTCAAAATCCTGAACTACACAGAGATGCTTACACCTGTACAGAACAAAGTCTTATCAACATCTCTTGGTTTACAAGCCCCTTCCTTCTGTGAAATGAATCCAACAAGAACAAGCCAGAATAAAAATGAGTTGCTCCCAGCTGCTGGCTCACAGAAATCTCTTGATCACTAAAGTCATGGAAACCATCCTTTGCAGAAGGTGCTACAACATTCTCTATTAGCAGCACACCAAATCAAAAGCAATGCTGCTCTTTGTCAGCTCTGCAAGAGCTCAGATCTTCAGAGAGTTTTCAGCTTCGCTTCTGTAACTGCTACTGAAATGATACACGTGAACTCTACAGTAGATGCTGGTTTCACACCTCTTTCTTTGGGATCACAGGCTGACGGCGTACAAAAGGCTTGAAAACCTTACCTGGCACAAGCAAATCACGTCTGTACTCACCAAACAGACTCCGTGCACCTGGCAAACAAATACGAAGACCTGCCCCCACAGTTTGATAGAGTACCTACCAGTCATGCTTCTCTAAAAGCAAGACACAATAATAAGACGTCAATAAAAGCCTAAAATTAGGATTTGAGCTTGCTGAAATCTGTCATTAACTCTTCACCAGATTGCTCTCAGACATTATGCAAGTCTTCAGTTTTCCAGAACACACTTGCCATTTAAACTTAATAAGCTATCAGTTCAGAATGCTCTGCTTCTGCACTTGGTGAACATCTATGCAGAGATATAAGGTAGAACAGAATCAGACCATTATGCCATAAACTCTCTCTTTTTGCAAAAGCAATAGTATTTACCAGTATCTGGTCCCGGTGAGGATTGAAATTCAATTAATTAATGTTCTAAAGCACACTGAAGTGTGTGATGAAAAGCTCTGAACATTAAGAACAATTATCTAAAATATATTTGGCTTACATCTCTTTTTCTAAGTTTAAAAATTACACAAAAGCAAGATTTAATATTAGAAATTAAACATATATTTCTCTTTGATACATCTATTCCCTAAGTACCAAAAAGAGAATCTTAAATAAACTTACTTCATTTGTTCTCCTTGTAAAAAAACCTCTTTCATGCTGTTCAACCTCCTTACGCACATTTTCTTGCTGATGTTTTGTTTCCGCATTTAATCTTGAATATTCTGGCTTTTCTTCTGAGGCTCCTTTTTTGCCTTCATGTTTGAATCTCATGACATTAGTCTCTAAAGTCACTGTTTGTGTAGCTGCATCTTTCAATTCCACTTTCAACAACTCAATATCCTTATTAATCTGTGGCACTGCATCTGGATAAAGCTTCTCCTTCCCGTCAAAAGTTGATTTCAATTCTACTTGCTGCTTTAAGAATTTACTGACCTGCTTGAAATGTTTGAGTTCAGCTCTTAGTTGAATAATCATTTGCCTAAGATCTTTTTCATCCTTTTTCTCTGTATCTTCACTTGAACATTCTTGCTCAGTTGTGTTCAGATGATCTAACAGTTCATTTACAATTTTCATTTGTTCTTGTCTGCTGTACTCAGGAAAGAGGAAAAAAAAAAGGCATGAATTTTGATTTTTATTTAAGCAAACAAGAATACCTTCTAAGAAACACTTCTGCAGTGTCTTGACATGTTTGAAATTCCCAGGAGATTCTGTTTTACTTGCTAATGAATTACTTGCTAACGAGCAGAGTTTTTGAAACCTTCTCACAACATGAGTTAGATCATAAATTATCTCATCAACACTTTTCTCCTATTTATGACCATATATGCTGTACCATCCCTTTCTCCATCCATGAACAGATACTAAACCTCTGGTAATTTAACCAATTGCTTACATAGCACAGTAGTCTAAGAAATACGAATGGATTTTCAAAAGGGTTTACACACTGAAAAATAAAATTCTACCAAAACCACAGGAGACTCGAGATGTTGAGTTTTTCTGAAAATCTATCCCTTCATGGATTTCTAATGTAACAGGGAAGAGGGAAACAGAAACAGCCAAAAGCCTGCAAAAACAGCTCACTACAGACCACCAAACTGCCCCACAGATAACCAGTGCTGCACGGACAATAGTTTGGAAAGCAATATTTTAAGTGAAACTGAAGCCAAGTAAGAGGCATTTAAAGCATAAGCAAGCCCTCAAATTCTACAGATGAATTCACGTATCCAACAGAGAGCTGTTTGTACCACTAAACATACAAACCAGCATTTAAAACAACTGCATTTGTACAGCTAGCATGTGAAATGGTAGAAGCCAACCAGGCTTTTGTGTCTTGCTCTGGCATCTAATGTCATTAGTGAGAATTAAGTTATGAAAGCACAGGCTGATCACCACTCAGTCTGGTCATTCATTCTTGGACATAGAAAAGACTACGCACTAGAGTTATAAAGCTGATGGAGCTGGAATCTCTCTTTTAGAAGACTTTTAAGTAAAGTTAACAAATAAAACAAATAAAACTCATTCATCTGAGAGAGTATATCTCTTCATTTGCTCCTAACTACTGCTTTGACAACTAAGACCCATTTATGCATCTTGGAGAGTTTTAAATAGGAACGTAAAGATATAGAATTGTTTGAGTAAAGTCAAGTGCAGTGTATGCTGAACACAGAAAATACGATCTGACTTGTGTACCTCCACGGGATACTCTGCTACCAGCATTGCTGAGCACAACACGCATGGAAGGCCATTCCCATTACTCCTGAAAGCACTATGGCTGAAGGAAGAGCACTGATGGGCACTGAAAAAAGTCACGTAATACTGTACAGAGTCATTACAGTGTGCACAGAACTAGGAAAGGAAAATGAGAACGATCTCCAGCAAAGCGCTAATTCAGTTTTCAGCCAGAAGATCAAGTGCTGCAAGCATGAAATTGGGGGAAACACAACTAGTCAGGGTGTAGTTTTTTTGTCCAGTTCCTATGGAAATGAGCATTTCAGCAGGCAATTGATCAAACCATAGGGTAACACACACTTGAAAAACATTTGTTAAACTAGGGCTTATACAGATTCATTTACACAAGCACGTTCTCCTGCATGAAAAGTGACCCAAGTACTTACAACACGGTTCATCTCAGCACAGTTCTTCAAGTGGTTACGCTGGAATAACTAAGGAGTCAAGTGCAGGACGTGGGCACAGACTCCCTAAACTGCTGACAGAGAGGACACCTCTGTCCAAGCAGTTCAGATGAAGTGGCAGAGGCCACACAGCGCACAGAAACATCCACTCAAAATTAACCCTGTAAAACAGTCATTGGACCTCCAATTTCCCCATCCTCAGTTCCTCACACATAACATTGTCACAGCTGTGCAATGTCATCTCCACCACACCACCTTTCACTGGCCTGTGCTCTCAGATTTTATTTTCTTTATAGAAAAGCACCACCTATTATCATCTGAGCCCTTTAACACTGCTGGACCCCATCCTGAAAAGAACCAGCCCCTACATTAAAGCTCCGTATATCAGTAACTTTGGAGAGTTTTCTTCCTTGTAATGGGTTTTTCATAAGGATTTCTACTGATACTGTGTTTCCTAATTACTTAATTGCATGATAGACTAAAATGGCTCTGAAGGCGCCTTGCCAATCTCTCAGGTAAATTAGACAGTGCCATTATCTAAATTCACTTTAGCAAAATTACTTTATTCTCTTCTCAAATAGAAAATACTGTCAGAAGCAGTGCATATTCTTAATACTTACGTAGATTCCAGTACAGATGTTCCATTTGCTCTTAAAAGAGATGTGAGCAAGTTCTCTTCTGTTTCATGTTCACTCCTTCCTGTTCTGCCAACGTGTTTGCCAGTTGCATCATCTTCAAACTGAGGCTTATTTGGACTGCTGTAACGTCTGTCTTTGCAGAAACTCTCTGAATAGCCTGATGGAGTTATCTGTTAAAAAAAATCGCAAACATCTTCTTATTACACGGGTATGTAATGCTCTATTAAATTGAGGGCTATAATCTTTTTGTAATCAGGTTTTGTAATTCCTGATGCTCTTTATCTACATTAAGAAGCATCCACAGACATTTCACTTACTATTTATTAATAGAAAAACTAATTAACATCTATTTCATATGATTAATTCATAGTGATCGGTTGTTTAGTAAGTAGTAAGTCGATTTCCCTGAAGGTCTTTATCTATGAAGAGGTATGAAACTTCTGGAACGTTGCCTGCAGATTGCAGCTAACTTTTTATGAGCTCACCTTTGAATCACCTGTCTTTACTGCATCAAATCCTGCCCTGATGGCCAGGGACAGGATGCAACTTGAAGTACTTACAAACTGCCAACCTTCTGTATGAAACACCACACGTGTCCTACAAAATTTCTACATGGGTTCTCTCCAGTAATTCAATCCTCATTTAAATCAATGAGTCTTCAGTGTCAATGACATGAGAACTTACACTGGGCCCATCTGGCTACAATTCTCACCAGTAAACATCAGCAGCGAGAGATTATGATGTTTAACAGTCAAAAGAACCCTTACAACACATCTCTTACCTGTTTATCCACCTCAGAAGGAAAATCCAAAGATACCTGAAGGCACACCTAGTAAACAGAGAAAACACAGAGAAATTACAAAATTCAAAGAACAGAACATCGTTATTCAACATTACTAACCAAAATGCCCCATTTTGTAGCACATTTTAGCATGTTATAGTTTTTAAACCAGAAAGGTTTAACTTTAATTGCACTCTGTGACCTTCTAAAGTCCCTTGACCTGAATTATTTTATGATTCCATGATGTTTTATATTATATTGCTTTTGAATGATAAAATAAGAGGAAAGCAGATTTCTGTATGAATAAAAATGCAGTCAACAAGTATTTCAACCCTGAAGAAGGATCTACATTATTTTTTCCTCAACCACAGCAGCCAGTGAATCTTACACAATTTGTACTACAGGCCTAACTGCAATGGAGGCTGAAGATCAATGTGTGTGTATGCAAAGAAATACAATTTCAAGGGACGTTCTGTCATCCCCATTAAGGAAGACTACGAGGACTCAAACAAGAGAAAACAAGGACGAGAATGAAAGCTATTCTGACTGCAAAACCCTAGCAGCAGAAAAACAAGGGGAAAAGCTTTCAGAAACTCTTTAGGATGACAATTAGTTGAAAGCAAAATCAAATACCAAGGAAAGTATGCTTTGTATGAAAAAGACTCTGTGTTCTAAGAAAATAAGAATTTTTAAAGGCATGCAGAGAAAAGAGTACTGTAACTGTACCCAGAGCAGTCCTACCTGGCTGACCCTCTCAGAAAATTGACAGTTCTGCGTCTTCCTGTCATTGTCACCATCTTCAGGCCGCATCACAGGCTCCTCTGTTATTTCAAGACACTACACAAAGTGTGGAATGATGTGAAAATGTAGCACAAAAAAAATACTGTGATATGAAACATGCATAAATAAGTCAGTGACATGTCTTAAAAGAAAAATAAAAAAAGCCTGTAATACAAAGTAACAAACACTGAATTAGATTTCTTCAATAAGATCAAAGGAAATGAATATAAAACCCAGGAATGACTCATACTGAATACAGTGAAACTTTCTCTTATCCATTCCTTAATTTTCATTTAAGTCTTTCTCAGAATTTACAAAAAAGCTTTGAAAATCACTTAACCTCTTCTGGAAAAGGACCCCTTTCTTCAGTCATGCTTTCATTGTGCCAATTTTGTTTTCCAATTTCCAGAATTTATTTTCAATTGCTACACAATTTAGGCTCTTCTCCAGCATCCAACAAATAGACACCTTTCTTAAAAAAGCACATGCAGCTTGCTCTACAGTAACAAGATTTACTGTAACACTGAAGGTTACAATCTGCTTTGTCTTCCCTAAATTTGCCGATTTGTAGCAAGTGGTGCCAAATCATCTTTTTCTCCCAGAGCCCCATCCATCTCCCATCACTGATGTTTCCCGAGCACAGGAGGAAGACTCAGCTTTTTTAGCAGCAGAAGCCAAGTTCCTGACATCAGCACCACTGAGAGCAAGACCAGGATCCCTTGGGTTTGGGTGTCACATCCCAGGAACGGATCCGCGAGCCAGAGATGAGCTCAGTGGTGGTGAAGCCCAGCACTGAGCGAGCTTCATTCGCACACAGCTCACGGAGAATATTTTCATCTCCCTTACCACTCACCTGCTCTACTTGGTTACCTCTGGCAACAGAGGACAGAATTTAGCCTTGCCTCTGTCGGTTTAATGCTGATCATAAGAAAAACTCGTATTTACAAAGAATTATTATTTTCAGTAGCTACATCCTGGCACAGCCTGCCAGAAAACAAGCTGAGTAAAAGGATGGTCTTTCATCCCAATTTGGGATCCATCAGGAGTGACGTGCAGTTATCACGTTCCACCACTCTCCTGTGATAAGACCAGGCTGGACATTTAGATCATCTTGTTTTATAGCAACATTTCCCAGTCTAATAGAAAAAGATAGATATTTAAGATCTTTGCAGCTAGAATCTCATTAAATAGTCAAAACATGCAAGAGTGATGGTAAATATCAAGGATCCTACACCTAATACGCCTAAGCCATAGATAGGATACAGCACAGCGGAATCAAACTTGCATTAGACAAAAAATTCAGTCGTAAAGCACTTGTAGCTGTAACATACAACTGCGGTGTGTAACAGTCATGTTTTGGCATGATTTGAGCTAAAGAAAAATTACCTTAAGACAAGAAAAGCAGAATCTTGAGCATAGTTAGAGAGAATTGCGATTACAGGTACAGAGACTCAGATGACAGACTGGAAGGAAAGAAACCGGTGCCCAGGGGTCGTGGATGTGATATTTATAGCTTCGAAGGATACACAGCGCAGTGCTGAAACTTGTGACATGAAAAGAGAAATCTGCTTCCCCAGTAGCACTTGCTGGAAAGTCTCGGCTCACAGCTTGTCAGTCCAGTCCCAAACAGGATGCTGCAGGGAGCGTTATTTTTGCTTCCTACGAGCACTGGGAATTGAATGCATGTGTGGGTTTTGATTTTTTTAATTGAGTATGCACAGAATATATATGCAATAAATGAGAAAAGCCTTTTTATCTTCCAATCCCTAGCAGTATAAGCAACTCTAATGGTTTTAAGTATGAATTTTAAAAGACAGAAACCGGATGGTGCAGCATATTAATAAATTTGCCTTTTACTGTTAGAAATCTATACTGAAAACTAACTTCTGAGTCACGTCTGGATTATTTTGGTATTTCCACTCAGAGTTGGTTTTCTAGGACAACACAAAGTAAAGAATCTGAAAACTGGAGGAAGGCACAGGTATGACTGTGGCATGTAGCATTATAAAAAGATCTTTTTGTTGCAATTACGGGATACCAAAAGTCCAATAATGGTAGCTATTACAAAAAAACCTGTTAAGGTTTAATCTTCCATGTGTAGATTCAGGTCAAACCCTGCATTCGTGTATTAAAATTAAACTTATTTGCACATATAACTTACACACCCAATGCAACTACCTTTTATGACTCAACATTTTCAGTATTTGCTTTTCCCAGGCCAGTATTCGGCTCAGTGATGCTTCTCGGAATGAAACTATAATGTAAGACCCACAGGTTATGGCACACTATTACCAAAAAATGACTGCAGTTTGCACCCGGTCCTATGGTTCGAGAGGCTGAAAAGAAACTTTCTGTGCTCCAAGGAATACAGCCTAATGTTCAACGAAATATTAAAAGAAAATAAGTGTCTTAAGGCCAGAAAAGAAGTCTACCAAGAATAAGCTGCCTGTTTAAAGTATTTCCTTGGAGACTGAAAACCTTGAGAATGTTTTTCCTAAATGAACCACTGATATGCTTGGTTTGCAGAGATCCCTGGAGCCCTGAAGGCTGAAATCACTGAGGCTGCTTCTCTCAGAGAAAGCAGATGTTCAGAGGACAGCACAACAACAACCTTTTCCTCTCCTGCTTCCCCTCCCTTCCAATCAAGAAGCCAAGGAAGAGCAGCAGGGGCTGTCAGGCCTTTGGGAGGTCCCTGCAGAGGCACCAACACGCAAATTCATCTCATTTGTGCTTCAGTTTTGTGAAGGAAAAGAAAGATGGGTTCATTTTAAGATACATCTTCCTGCAAGTGTCCAAATTCCTCTTACAGCACATATGTTAGTGTCGTCTCAGCACTCCCTGCCAACAAATTCTAGCCCAAAATACACACAAAAAATAGAGCTAAGGCATTCTTGACAATGGTTATTAATATGCAAAACACATTGCTGTCACAATCTATAACCCAAAAAGCAGGTAGCTGTTTATTGCCAAGACTGACAAAATGGTACCTGTTAAACTAAAAACTTTTCATTACAGATCTTTTGACTTTTGAGCTCCATAGTACTACCATCATTTTGGCACAGGTTAAAATACCATCCTTTACCTTCCTATTTCCTTTACCAGAATTTTGAGGTTTATTTATATTTTACAAGCTTCACTGTCTCTCATTCTACATCTGATTTCACGTAGGCAGCTTTTTTAGTGGCCCTATGTGTACTTTTCATGCCGAGACAAAAGCAGGAGCGAACAGCATCCTGACAGGATCATCTCAGCACAGGACACAAATTCCTTTGGTATTAACGACGGCATCAGTGGGGGCGCAGCGCCCTCTGCAGGATGATGCCGCAAATTGACAGAAATATTAACGTACAGAAAGCGCAAGCCCGCTGAAACAGATTGCCCACGAGCTCTGCATGCAAACCTATTACATGTAAATTCATAATTTTAATAAGAGCCATGGCACCCCTAAAGGTCAATCGGTAATTTATAATGTATTCCAATTAAAGGTAACTGAAAAAGAAAGACTATTCCATGACTTCTGATGATTGCTTCCAGTGCATCTGCAGTACATACAGTAAAAAACAGGACCCTTTTGCCAGTCTCTTCTGGAATAAACTGTCCTGCAGAAAAATCATCCATACCACAGCCCCAGTTTGAGAATTAAGCAATCCCTACACATAACTGATAAAAACTGCTCCTAATTTTTTTGTTCTTTTGAGTTTAATTCACATTCAGAAATTCAAGACAGAAAATACTAGCACCATTATTATTCCTTTTATATTTTTACCTTCCTATTCAATATGTGGTGCACAAGAACAATGTAACTGAAAGAAAAAATCACAACAGAATATAAAGAAAAGTACTACCAGCCACATTTCAAGTAATATTGTATAACAAGCTTGAAGGTTCACTAGAATTTCCCAGAGCCTCCTGAACACTTTTCATCATTCACACATAAGACGACACATTGGGATCCAGCACCCGAAACGCTTCTCAGTGGAAGTATCTCGCCACAACTGCTTCTTCCCCACAGCTAAAAACAGCCTTAGGTTTGATCACCCGGCAATGATGACTTCCTTGCACCTCTCAGCAATCTACCACAATGCCGGCCACTTCTTCAGTACTTCTGTATCCTACATGAAGGAACAGCCATGCATTTAAGCGACACAAAGTGCTGTTCTTTCTTTTCTGGCCATGGTGAACCCTAGTTGTTCTGTAGATGCAGAGGAGACATGAACTAAGCTCTTACAGAATTAGACTCAGCGCGATAATGACTCTTGAACAGCAGACAAGCAGTAATAGCTAAAATGTTGTATAAGATGTTGCTTTCTTTGTAAAATTAACTGTTTCCTCCCCTTAAACTGGCGAAACAAATGTATCACAGACCAAATTAATATTTTACTGTGCAAGCTGCTTCCTTAAAATCAACTTGACACATCACTGAACACTTGCATTGAGCTGATTCTCTGTTGTGCTAACATCTTAAAGCTGTTTACATCATTAATTTAAAAAGTTATTATAAGGAATTAGCAACCTAAGCCCTGAGGGTTTTACAATCATTCTGCACTGATGTGATTCCACAAGGTATATTAGATGTGAGTCAGATTCACTACTTTAACACAGAAAACCTACCTCACTGTGGTTTAATATTTTTATTGGTTCCTTCCCTTGAGAATCTGTTGTACAAAGTCCAAGCTGTTTTTTCTTAAGTTCTTGATTAATTGACTGCAGATCCTTTACCATCAAGAGAAGATCAGTAACCTAAGTAACCAAAGGAAGAACAAGCAAAACTGGTAACATCCATACTAGCACAACAAGAAATGATGATATATAAATCTCCAGGTAAATCTAAACTGCAGAGTTGGAAAGCCCAGGCTTCTGTATCTGCTCATGAGGCAATCTCCCTCTGTATGAAAACATAATTATATATCTGTGAGTTAGCATTCAAGAAATCTTAACTTGTAAGACTGTTGTTTCCAGCCACGTTATTAAGTTGAGGTATCAAGTAGCAAGAAGCAACCTGAGGTCACCTCACACCAGCAGGCTGATTTGAGGAGAAACACTGCAGTGCAACAGAAACAAGCATTGAAGGGAAACAGAAGAACAGGCTGTTTCTGAATGCTACTATCCAAAACACCCTTTAAAAGCCACTATCATTCTCAGCAGTTTCACAGATACAAAATCTGAACAGACAATCATGTTCAATACTCTTGAAAAGACATTACTGTCACAGACTCACAGAGTACATCAGGAAGGCAATATTTGCAGAAGAAAGTGATATCCTTTTATTAGACCAATTAATATATTTGGAAAAAACCGATCTGTTTTCAGGCATACAAACCATTCTACAGGTTTGTGTAAATGGTTTATGAATGTCTTTTGCTAATGAGTGTCCCCAAACCTACCGAAGGGAGTGTGTTCAGAGACAGCAGTGGTATAACCCCAGCATGAGACTGGGACACGACCTGGGGCTTGTTTTACCGACACCCGTTCAGTGTAAGGCAAAGTCCATTCCTTCAGATCATCCACCTCCAGATTTTGAACACCTGCCTACAACTCAGCTGGTCATGGGAAATACAAAACTTCACTTATGTTGACTCCCAACCAACCACATTCAAAATAATTTATCATAAACTGGTGCATGGATCTGAGGTCACTGCACAGGATAAGGAGTCAGAAGAACAATTTTCCTTCTGAACTTACTGATTTATTGTATGACAACGGTCTGCACATTTAACCTCTGTGAATTTCAGTTCTCCTTACACAGAATGGAGATAACATTAACCTACCTCAGGGTTATTTTATAACATGCCATATTTATCAAAAGACTTGCAAATGATGGAGCGTGCTGCACAGAAGTATAAATTATAGACACCACTACCATCTTCATGATTAATAAAGGTGCATGAAATACCCGTTGTAAGATACTTAATGCCAAAACTTTTCTTCGGAGTTGGTATACTTTATGAGGACTACAGTACGGTATTGAGTCTGAAACTTGAATCCAGGTGTCTAACTATCATAAAACCTTTGCAGACAGCCACCATCCTTCAGCTGACTCCAAAGCTCATGTGATGGATCCAAGACTCAACAGTTCATAAAAAGTTCTCACAGACATGAGAACTTCAGCTCCTCTCAGAACTACCCAGCGGTACCTAAATAAACCCTCTTGTGAGAGATGCACAAGCTAGGAACGAAACAGGATGAAGCCATTAGAAACAGTAAATAATACAAAAGATCAATACCTTTTTCTTAAGTTCTTCAAGAGACAGATGGTCTATCTGTAGGCTTAAATGATCTTGCTCTCCTAAACAGATACTCATATAAGATGTTTGATCGCCACAGAAAGACAGCGTTTCATCTGTCAAAATAACCAAGGACAGGAATTATTTCAGAAACTCTATTTGCAGGAAAATAAGCATAAAATGCAAAGACAGGACATTTCAAATAGGAACCTACTAATAAGTCAGTGGGAGGCCAGTTAAAATGCTTCATCCCCCAAAACAAGCTTTCTGTTTAACAGAACAAATTTTGTCCTCGTATTTCTTTGTGCTCCTGACACGCAGACATGCTCTATTTTCTGTGGTTATCAGCGTGAGTTGTGAATGTAATTCTGAATTATAATTTGCATATTTAGCATTACAATTAGAAATAATTTTTAGGGAGGATAAGTAAGGCATGAATAGTTATTCTGTTTTAACTGTATTTTTATGAACATGAACTCAAGGTTACAAGGTGAAAAGCCGGGTTAGACAAAGTTATTGAATTTATTTTGCTTTTGGGTCAAAAGATTGCATTAATTGAATTGAAAATAGCTACTTATTCATTTCCTCTATAACTGCAGGAATGATTTGCTACATTTCAGTAAACACCTGTTCATTTACAATATAGATGACAGTTAATTCTATAAATACATCTCATTAGATAGGGAGAAAGCATATCTAAATAAGGACAAAAGAGAGACATCCAAATCCTGCTCCCAGCTCTGACACTGAGCCCATGGCTGCTGCAAGGACCCAAAGCTTCACAAATTATTTATTAGTAATGTTCAGAGCCTTCATCTCCAGCAGCCTCACCCTCCACACAACCGCTCCTGCAAGCCCAGGAGCACAGACAAAACGCTTTGGCCTCCCCTGGCTGTTCATCGTCTCTGTGCTCTTGAGGTTGGAAACTCTGAAGCAGCAGCAGCAGCTTACCTTTTGCACTGATCATAGCTGTCAAGGGAGTGATGCTAAAACTGAAAATCTAAGTTTAAGCGATAACTGAACAGGCTTTATTGTTATTTATATATCCCCTATGGAGTAAAACAGATCATTTGTACATATGCAGTAAACTATATCTAACAATGGCCACTTACATTATTATTTTCTATATCTAAGTATATACCAAAAACACCTCCAAAGAAGTACAATAAAAAACCCTAGAGGAGAAGTCATATTTAAAAGCTCTGTTATTTCTGAATTACAAACTCGCAAAACCTCTGCCATTTTTTTCTGTCTCTGGAAATACTTCTGTTAGGAATACTCGAGCCGTTTCCTGAGACACAAGCACTTCACCAAAGTACTGTGAAATAATTACATTCCATAGTCATGAAGTGATCCCATGGCCACAGATTTATCCAAAGCCAGGAATCTCTGACTTCTGCAGAAGACAGTACACTCTGTGGGCACAAAATTGTAGGCAGCTTGAAATGATCACTACAGTAGAAGTGCCACACAATTACTAATGTTTGCTGCATGGAAAGAGGAAAGCTGTCCCTCCTATATGTGTCCTGATTGCTCAAAGGCAATCTGTTACAAATGCTCCAAATAATTTTCAGTATAGAGTGTCAAAAATAAGTTTTTCACACTTTTTTCTCCTCTCAAATGTTTCTTCTCCAACCCAGCAAACTGACTGTAACAAAACCAGTCTTCTTTTGTGCAAGAAGATCAAGGAAAAGTATGGGCTGCACAAGCACACAGACCTTGTCGGTTTTTAATGTCCTTTATCTGATCTTCCAAGACCTTCTGCAGATTCCGATTAGCCACAACGTCTTCTTCTAGTTGTTTTCGCAACATGAAAATGTTGTTTAGTTCTGTTTGCAAGCTATTTATACTGAAAAAAGGAGAAAAAATAAATCTTTAAGATCCAATCCAAACCATTTCGTTGTGCACCTCAGCATCTTTTACACATCCGGGCTTCCTCACAGAGCCCATTTCACATGAGCCACTGCTGAGTTTCATCACACAGTTACACCGTTTTGATGCAGGAGGAGAAACAAATCCCCACATTGAAAGATGGGATGAAACCTTTCCTTTTCTTCTTGTTTTGAGCTGTCCTGATTGCAAGTTGGCTTATACATGACAGATATGTTCTACCAGCCAACTTCTGTGTAATTCTTTTTAGGGAAAATCAAAATTACTAACTTCTGAAAAATCTGCCAGAAAAAGATCATTATCGCATGATACTGATGGCTCAGTGTGTTCCATTATACGGTGACCATGGAAACTTTGTTTCCTTGCTACAGAACTATGCTATATAATCTAATGCTCCACTTAAGAAAAAAGTCCAAAATACATCCCAGGCACAACTAGCTCTTCTATTTCTTCATTTATCTGACAGTCTGTAGAAAGACCTTTTAAGGTCTAAATTGTCTCAATTATCTCACTGGGGTGTAAATGCCAAAACTTACAAATGATAATTTGTCAACGTGAATTAATTCTTTAAGCGGCTTTCTTCCAAGGTGGCCACTGAAGCTCTTACTTTAGCACCAGCCACTGTCCCTGTGGCCTCACGGTGTCGGCATCCCTAGCTGTCCCTTGCTAGATCCTCCCTACGCCTTTCAACAACATCGATAAGGCAGTTTTGATCAGTCCATAAAATGATTTAAGTACATTAAAAACTGAAACTGCAATAAAATTAACTAGATTTGTTTTAATAACAAATAAATAACAAACATTGTTCATCGTATTATTTATTTGCACTTTTACTTTACTCAGAACCTCAGCATTTTAAGATAAATTAAGCTGCTGTAGAATTTCCAACTCACTGCACTAAGTGCCAGAGAAGTCTGCAATCTTTAAAAGAAATTTAAATCCATCTTATAGAAGATTATACAGGAACATACAGCACATCATACGCATGAGAATAACAGCATATTGTAGAAATGCATTAATTAAAGACAGCATGTATGAAGAGACTCTCAGTCTGTCTTCTGACAAGTGTGCTGTTGTCAGTGTTTCCTGCACAAGAAGCTACTGCTTTAACTAATTCTCCCTAGCTCAAGCGTGTCTTTGAAGACAGAGCTCTTAAATGCTCAGCAAAAAATTAAGAATAAAAACAAACACATTACTAGAAGCTAAGTAAGCACATTTTTTCATGAGTTAAAAGTTTGTAAGAAAAAGCATCGATTCCCTGCTTGGAAAGACAAGAAATGTCTTGGTCCTGACATCTTGTAGCTTATTTTGAAAAATAACCATCCAGGTTGCTTAAAATAAATAATGCCTAAAAGAAGATATGTCAGCAAGAAAACAGATGTTTGCCTAAAATCCATGTCACTGCTGATGGCAATTACACAAACGAGGACGCTGAATTTATCTGCAGGGCTTGTTTATCAGCTCCCCAGAACTCTGGGGGTTCAAGTCTGAGATTTACAGCACGTCTCAGCCCACAGAGCTACAAGGAGGGGCAATGAGAAGACCTGTCTCCAGCTTCCA